GCGAAACCTCCTTAGTAATTACTGAAACCATGGCAAAACTATATTAAATCTTATCAAAAATCCTGTTGAAACTATGCCGAAATGGCGAAATCTCAAAATGCGAAACTCTGCCGAAACTCTAATAAACAATTAATGTGTAACCTGCCGAAACCCCGCTGATTGATTTCTGGAGGAATTTCGGCAAGCAACCTTAGTAACACGGGAATTACTAAATTTTAAATTTTATATTACAGTATGGTCACGTGAAAGTCATGAGGTGCATTTAGAGAGGATAATTTTATATGAATGGGTCTAGGGAAAGGCCATGCAGTATAGAACATAAAGGTACACTTATCTCTAAGTCCCAAGCTTGAGACTGTTGACTGTAGTTTGAATTTTTTTTATAGACGATCTGCACTGTATTACAAGTCCCAATATGTTTTGATCTGCGAGTGAGATATCAGAATTAGTAGCAATGATTTAAAATTTTATTGTTACATTGAAAAAATGTCTAGTGATGAGCAAAAATATGACGATATTCCAAGGGATGTTATAAACAAAAGAATTCAATCTGAAGATCAATTAGCAACAATTCGTTATGTTGGCCCTGTCCCACCTACAAAAGGTATATGGTATGGTGTTGAATGGGACAATATTTCAAGAGGCAAACATGATGGTTTACATGATGGTGTAAGATATTTCACGTGTAGGTTAGTTATACTACATAGTTATTATTGCTTTTATGTATTGGAGAGAGAAAAAACGATTACATTAATTGATTTATTGATTGATTGATTATTTTAAATAAAACAGTGTTCCAAATAGTGGATCTTTTATTAGGCCTTCTCCAAAAATACATTTTGGTCGTAGTTTTCTTTCAGCCATGATTTTAAAATACATTGACTTAGAATTATCATCATCATCATCATCAATGGTTAAAAAAGATTCTAATGATAATAACATTAATAGTAATAATGGTGGTGGTGACGATGGTGGTGATGGTGAATCATATGATGCACAAAAAGATTTGGATACAATTTATTGGGCCGGTAATACAAAAATAGAGGTTGAGGCTATAGGATGGGAAAAGATTCGTAGAAAACAAAGGTTTAATAATTAAATAATTTTAATTTAATTACTAATAATAGTGAACAATAATTCTTATTTATTAACAAACTACTTACATATATACTATATATATTATTAATTATAGGCAATTGGATAGATTGACAGAAGTAGGTTTATCTTTTGAACGAATTTCAAATGCAGGAAAGCCTGGAGAAATCGAAACGACTTGTCCAAGTAATATATATATTAAAAAATTTTACAAACAAATGAAATAATTTAATATTGGTAATTAAGTATAAAGTTCTTTAGATATAATTGACTTGAATTTGTCAAAAAATCTAATATCTGATTGGGAAACTGTTGCTCGAATTTGTGATCAATTAAAAAAACTGCAGGTTTTAAGATTAAAGTAAGCTCGCTTATCTTCTCCTATTGATCAATTTCATTAATAATTTGACTAATTTTTTTTATTTGATTTTAGTTACAATAGATTTCAAGGGTTAAAAGTGGTTCCTGATTTTAAAATTTCATTTACAAATTTAAAAAATTTATCTTTGAATTATACTAGGATTGAATGGAAACAGGTTTTATTTCATACTAATTAACTAATCAGTTAAAATGCAAATTATACTCGAAATTCTTATGATTTTTCTTCTTTATAGATTGAACTACTTGAACCATGTCTTTTGAATTTGGAAAATTTACAATTAGGTTTTAACAATATTAAAAATTTTGGAGATATTGATGGTGAAAAGGAAAACCAGATAAAAAAAAGCAAGATAAAAGGTTTTTCCAAATTAAAAACACTAAATCTTGAATCTAATATTATTGATAGTTGGGATGAAATTGCTAGATTTTCAGGATTACCACAGTAACTAATTAATTATTATTATCTATTTATATATATATATATAATTATTTACCAATAATAATCTTTTATCATAGGTTGGAAACACTTTTTATTAGTAATAATTTAATAAACAATATTTATTATCCTAAAGGAGTTGATAATCAAGAGTTTCCAAAATTAAAATATTTAAATGTTAGCGAAAATAAAATCAATGATTGGCAAAATGTTAATGAACTTAATAGGTTTCCCTCATTAGAAGAGTTAAGAATTAAAAAAAATCCACTTTTTGATAGTAATGAATTTAATGAATTTTAACATATTGATGATTTTTATGATTATATTTTAATCGCCTTACAAATCAACAACACTTATTTTTGTATCTATAATATAGGTATAAAAGCCGATGAAGCATACATTCTAATTGTTGGTAGAATTAAAGGATTAAAAATGATGAATGGAAGTATGGTAATTATAATCATTAATCATTATTAAAATATCTTTTCAATTTGCTAAACAACATTAAATCTTATGTATAGATATCATCTAGCGATAGAATTGATACTGAAAGATATTATTTGAGATTATGCATCAAGGATTTGAAATCATCTGATGAAATAGAGAAACACCATCCTAGATTTAAAGAATTATGTGAAATTCATGGCGAACCTACTTTTGATGATAGAAGTTCAAAAGCAACTAGTAGCATGTTGAAAGATAGATTAATAAGTCTGTATATTCATTATCATTATCATTGTCATTATCGCTAAACGCTAATTAATTAATTACAATTCATGGATCAAAATATTTTGATCATAAAAAAATTTTTTTTATAGCTTTGACTATTACCCATAGAAAATCTCTTGATGAAGAGCCAATAAAAATAATATCAAAAAAACTTTTAGGTATTTTTTTTTTATAATAATTATTGTGAATAGAGATAATGATTTCTAATTCAATTTAAGTTTTATAATCTTATTAGGAACTTTAACTTTGAGAAATTTAAAAAATATATTTCAAAAATCATTTGGAATACCAGCATCACAACAAAGATTATATGCAATTATTAAAGATGAGGTGTTATTTTATTTTATTTATTATTTATTTATTATTTAAATATAATACTTAAAATTTATTAAAAATTGTATTTAAACTAGACTGTAAAAGGCACTTCAATATCAAAATTTGAAATGAATGATGATTTGAGACAATTATCATATTATGATTTTATATCAGGAGATGAAATCATAATATTATCAAAATAATTTTTATATTTAAGCAATCGATCAATGATAAAAAAATTTTTCTTATAAAAAAATAAAAAATAAATTGAATAAATCAGAATTATTTAACATTTATTATAATAATTATTATCATGAGTTATAAAGTTGGTGAGTGAAAAATAAGATAATAGTAATGATTTTTAAATCATAATATTTTAATTTGAATAATGAATCATTGTATATGATTTTATGAATTAGCTGATGTTTCCCTCGCTAGTTGGGGTCGTAAAGAAATTTATATAGCAGAAAATGAAATGCCTGGACTTATGCATTTACGTAAAAAATATGGACCTTCTAAACCTTTAAAGGGTGCACGTATAGCAGGGTGTCTCCATATAGCAATTTAAACTGCGGTTTTAATTGAACTTGGAGCTGAAGTGGCTTGGAGTACTTGTAACATTTTTTTCCACGCAAGATCAAGCTGCTGCCCGCCATTGCAGTCACCGGCGTGCCTGTTTATGCAACTATTTGCGATGTAAAAATCGATTACAAATCGAAAATCGATTACGAAAAATTAATCGATTAACATCTCTAATTCAGTGGCCACAAATATATATATATATAGCAACTTTGTGATGTAACCACTCTCATTTAATATTAATATTATTAATATAAATTTTTCTTCGGGAAAACTTTATATATACAAAGATCGTCAATTAAACCTTTGTCATAAAACACTTATTTTTTAATACATTTAACAAATTTAATAAAAGTTATGGTTCTCAGCGGGATATTTATTATGGCTTTACATAGTGTTATAAATATATAAAGAAAAATGTTTCGTGATACAATTTAATTTTATTACTCATTCAATCAAATAAAATTTAATATCGGATATTCATAATATGGTTAACATTGATAAATAACTAAAATTTTAAATTATTCATCTTTTGTTATCCATAGTCACATAACAAGTGTGTAGATTCATCACTACATATTACAACATTACAATGTCAGGCACATTAGTTTTGCAAGTACAGCCAAACCTTGTCACAGCACAGCGGACTATTTTTATGTGCCCCGTTCATCCGCTGTTGACTGTAGCTCTTTTACAATTTTGTGACCCTTGTTTCTTTCATATCCAACTTGATTTCTTAAAATATCTCTTTACTTTTACTTTCTTCAAAATATGAGCAGCAGTAGAATTTTTTTGCTTGTTATTCTATTATTACTTTCTTCTTGTATTTAGTGACTGAAGCCTCTTCTGTATTTATAAACGAATGGAATTAATCAATAAGTTCATTGATCAAATATTCAATGAATATTAGATTTTTTTTCCAGTTCCCAAAGAATAGAATGGCTACACTCGCAACAAAATTTCAATTGTCATGGAAATATGTAGTAAAAATTAATCTAGCAAAACGTAAGTTAGAAACCGGGAATTCAGTTAGTAATTATTAATTATATGTCCATTTCAATCACAATTTTCCAAAACATCCTAATTTATATCAATATAACAAGTTACTATGAAGAGAAATGGAGTAGAGATACTCAAGAGGAAGATATTATATATTGTATGGTCTTAGTATTATTTATTAATCTTTTATAAAGCATATAAATGTATTAATAAAGAAGAATATTGGAAATCGTTTGGTTAATTGTGAGGCAGAAACGTGACTATTGGGGATGTATATGACTGATGAAATCGTTCTACGTATTTGTGTATGATGTTTCCAAACAGACTAGATTTGTAGAATTATCGAAGACAAGATAATTAGTGTCAAAGTACATGATGCTGTTGAGTATATCGACTTATCATATTTATCATGCATTTCATTCAAGTGTGACTGCACTGCTATAAAGCTTCGAAATACTCATTCAGCAACTTCATTATATGATGTGATGTTCCACTTGTCAAATTGATTATGCCGCGCAAACTAGAAATCGAAATATATAAAGACAAAGACAATCAATATTAGGGAAATAGATAGGTAGTGGAGAAGTTATCATTATTATAAGATTCCAATTAAAAAGTAATAATAAAAAATTATCCTAATCTAAAAACTTAATATGGCTTTTATCTCAAGTTTACGTTTTATTTATTTGGCACATTTTAATTGAATGTATTTTTCAATAGCATCTTTTTTGGAATAACTATCACTAGTACTAGTACTAGACCCTGAAAAATTCGCAATAGTCGATTATGATAAATATTGAAGTTGTTTTTTATTTTAAAAATTAAATAATTATATCTATTGTGTCAACTCAAAGGAGTTGTTTTAATGAGCTTTACTAATTACTAATCTTAGCTTTGCTCAGTAACTTACATTAAGAATTATAATAGTAATAATAATGATAATAATAATAACGTTTTCTTTCCCACATTAATTAAATCCACAAAAGTATATTTAGTATCTATTATCAGAATTTATTCCTTTTCTTTTTTCCTCTTCTCTAACTTCAAACATTATTTGGACGGCACAAAAAATTGCAATACAACTTAATCCAAGCGCTATTAAACCTTTATAATTGAAAGAAAAAAGTCAAAAAAAATTTTTTTATACGAGATTGAAGAAATGAGAAATGAATATATTTGTAAATAAATATTTTAAGAAATTTACCATCCGTTGTAAGAAATATCTCTGATAATAAAAATTTCATTCCATCTAAACCAACAGCAAATCCAACTAAATTTGCTGCCCACATGGTTAATAAATTTAGTACACATCCAATAGCACATAAATGTCTAAAATATTGCCAATTTGTCCACTAAGAATTTGTAAAATAATAATGATTAATTATATTATTATTATTACTACTACTACTACTACTACTACTACTACTACTACTACTACTATTATTATTATTATGATTTTGACTTTTTTATACATACCCCTTTGCCTGAAAATACTTTTGTAGCAATAGCTTCAGGTAAAATAAATAACCAAATTAGCCAACCCCATGCTAATAACGATAAAGTGATATCATGCCATATTGCTACAAATGTGAACACCACTAATATATTATATATAGCATATTTAGTTCCTCCAAGTGGTATATAAATATATCTAATAATTAAATCATCTTCATTATTATTTAAATGGCATTTGTATGCTTATTCACATAAATATATACATGTATGCATATCGATATATGTTTAAATACCTAATAATCCAACGATAATAACTTCTGTGCCAACTACGCCAAAATCCCTGAGTAGAATAATTATTAAACATACATCTTAACATATTTTCTTGCGTGTCAATACCATCCACCATTGCCCAAAATCTGAAGAATCTCCAAATAATCAAAAGCTTTTATTTTTAAAAAAAGTATTAAATTTGCAGATCAACGAAAAAATTAAAACAATCAAACAAATTAACAAATAATTGATTTACCTTTAACCAAATCAATTTTAAATTGAATGCTCCAATCATGGCTAATTCAAATGGAGTATAGCCCTCATATACACCAGACTTACTTATTGCTACTACATACATATAATGCAACATAAATTCCATCAAAATAATGGCTGAAAATAATCTTAATCCATATGATATTATAGATTTAAAATTTTGCTCCTTTGGATATCTAAACTAAGTGTAAATATAAATTTTATATTTATATATTTTGTTGAAAAATGTATGATGATTTAACAAAATTTTTTTAAAATTAAACTTACTTGAGAAACAAAATCATTATAAGTAATAATAGGCCCAGCAAGATATAAAGGTGTGTATAATATATACGATAAATAATAAATATAGTTGTAATCTTCTTTGAAGCAAGGATTTATGATTCTACTTTTATCTGATAACAATGAACTATTTTTATCAATTTTCTAATGTATTTGAAATAAATTATCTTAATTATTAATTAATAGTTGTCATGAGTAATCTTCATATATTTATATATATATAACATTTACATTGGGTTCTCCCAAAATTACCTCTCTTGTATCATTAGAAGAATGAAATGACCAATAATAATCCATATTATAAGATATAATTCTTAACATTGAAAAATTAAATGTAATATTCCATCTCGGTAATAAACCTTTATTTAAATCCTTTTAAAAAAAAAAATTAGAAAAAAATCAAAATTCAACCTGGAGTAACAATAATTTAACTTACTAAAAATCCAAGTCTTTCATCCAACATTTCGAATCTATAACCATCATAATTTTCGTTTAAAAATAATATTGTTAAATTAAATATCCAAGTTATCACAGGATTTAATTTTGAACCTTTAAAAATCATTGATATCAGGTAACTTAAAGTTAATATAATTAATATCTTAATAAGACTATTACCAAATAGTACATAAAGAAATATCAATGAAAATGTTAGAGAGAAATAGATTCTGGATAAAAATTGTGATGGAAGTTTTGCTGATGAAGATGATGCAGAAAATCTTTTGTATAAATAACTAGTTAAAATATATGTTGTTAAAGCAAATAATAATGGCATATAATTATTACGAAATGAAGCGAATTGTACATCACTATTATCCTATATAAACAAATGGAAAAGTATATGCACAAATACATTAGAAAATATACAGACAAAAAATTAATACATCCAAAATTAATCAATTTTAATATACTTGCAACTTTTCTTCCAAATATCCAGCCGTCACTCAATCTTTTGGAATAGTATATATAATTTGGATGATTATCTAAGATTCAAAATGCAATTGAATTAATAATAATACTAATTCAATATTTATACTAGATTCTTCGAATTTAACCTACCTTGACTTATATCAACTGTCACCTTGGCCATATAAAATAGTGAAGTTGCAACTATTAAATAATAAAAATAAAATTCTCGGGTATTCCATAATGGTGCTTTGGTTTTTATACGTTCTGTTGATGTTGATGTTGATGTTGATGTTGATGTTAATGTTGATGTTAATGGTGGTGGATAATTATTATTATTCATTTTTTAAATGAAAAAGTTAAAAAAATTTATCAAAAAAAAAAAAAGATCAGGTCGTAAAAAATGTGGTGGTAATGCACATTAATGTAGATCTTTCCAATATAAATAACCTATTTTTTAATTATTTAGGAAAACAAACAGACTTTTTAATTGTAAAGTTATATTAATATAAACAAAAAAAATTTTGGTGCAAACCTTCATAGTGGCATAGACTAAGGAAAATTATCAGCAATCACTTTTTATGGGAAAGGCTTTTTAAGTTTATAGATGGAAATTAAAATTCATATATACCGAAACGAAACAAAATTACTATGTGTGTGGTGGGTTTTTTAATGTTACACATGTGTCATCATCAAAACATAATCTTTAAGAGGAAATTTTGCGGATAAAGGAAATAAAATTCAAATAAACTTTAACTTTAAAATGTAAAGGCTCAATAACCAAGCAAGCTGGAGGAATAAGATCTAATCCGGAATAATGAATGCATTGGTCATGTAATGCAAAAAATAATAAGAAAGTATATATATCCGAAAAGACTTGGTAACAAGAGACACACCATTTTACAAGGGATGTTGAGGGTGCAATCATAATAAGTACCTGGTCTCGAGTATCCGTTGTACAAGTTGGAAATGCTAAAAGATTTTGAATGTAATGTAAGATATTTTGCCTTTTCGAAATGCAACACAATTTCTAATATTTTGATAATCACTGAAATTTTTCGTCCCTAATACAAAGTATACAGCAATTGGTTATGTTGAGACTGGAATTGTCGACATAAACTACAGTCACACCTGTCTATTTGCATACTGGTGGGACCAATGAATCTTTATGCAAATAGACAGAGTATGCATATTCGCATTATCATGTGACTGATGAATTAATTGTCACATGACATATGTAAAAATCGCTTCGCGTCATTCATGATTCATTAAAATAATTTTTGATTTTTACCCGATTTTACACAAACATTATTATATTATTTTGTTATCCTTTATATCTACAATGAAGAAAGCTAACTAAACAACGAACAACGTCATAAATTTGTTTAAAAAAGCAAAATGGTCCAAGAATGACCCAAAAAGAATTTATTAATGGTGTGAACAAGAATTTGGAGTAAAAATTGATCTAGCAAGAATTTCCAGAACATTAAGGCGTTCATCCGAATTTTTAAGTAATGAAACAAATCCACTACAGAAAAAATCTTGTAATGTAAAATATCCCGAACTTGAACACACGAAAAAGATTTATTCTGATTCTATGAAACAAAGCAATATTAAAGATTTTTTTGAATAAAAAATAAAATTATTGTCATTGATCTTTCCTTTTATAGTATGAATATGCATATTTACGTTAGTGGGGACTAGTAGAAACAGGATGCATATGCACGTTTACGTTATGCAAATAGTTCATAAGTCCCAATACGGGACTGGGCTACCTTTATGCAAATGAACAGATTATGCAAATATACGGTATGCAAATAGACAGGTGCAACTGTACAATGTCGAGACAAATGGTCACGTTGAAGTGCTGATGAATACTCAAATATTTAGGACAGAGTGATTTTTTAAGCAGCCTTGCGAGAAATGTGATGACAAGAGTTCAGTTTCTAGTTTTTGCATGTAGAAGTAAGGCTTGGATCTATGTTAATTTTATTGCAAAGTGTTCAATTTTCAAAATACAAAAAATTTCCCGTATGAAGTTTATCCCGTTAAGAAAAGGTTGGACTCGAGAAACAATCATTACGGCGATTGGAAATGCAATAATTTGGAAAAGTACTTACACTTAATTGGATATTGATTCAAAAGGTTGTATAAATGAAATTCCAGGAAGGAATTGAAAAAAAAGTTTTTTATGTTGGTGGAATGGTCCAAAGAAAAAATCTGCGAGAAATCGAAATCAACCACCATTTTGATCTCTGATTACTCATAGACAGGATACTATGTAATAAATAAAACCTTTAAAAAAATTCTGGAGCAATCATTTCGTAATAGTAATATTTAAATTTCCAAAATGGCTTTTTTAAACGTAAGTAAAAGGCCTTGTGCAATTACAATTTTATTTTAAAACTGAAAAGTAAAAATGATCTATGCTGTATCATTGATATCAAATGACAAAATAATATAAATATGGTGAAATGACAAAATAAAATTTGAGTTTTACTGTCACATATTTCGACTTTTCTATACTCCAAAATATTTTCGACAACAACCCTGATGTGGTTCCATCTAAAAGGCCAACCATTATGTACACGGGACATGTCCGCTTAAGATTGAGCGGACATGGACATGTCCTGGACAATGTCCAATGAACACTATCCAAAAATGTCCGCTCATTTTCTTAAATGTCCCGGACCACTAATATCTCCGGTACAAACCACAAGTTAAACGTGAGAAAATGCCTTTACCACCTTTATTAACTCAACATATTAAACCAAACCAATTCAAAAACAGATTGTCAGACTAGCTTTAATACTTTATATTTGTATTTTTATTATTTGCATTTTTATTTATAATTTCTATTTTATTAAATAAAAGTAAAAATTCTTTGACCAAGTGAAAGAAATCAATCAACCAACCAGTTAATTAAATAATTTTATATTAATAATCCAGAGTCTTGCTTGAGAGTAGAGGCAGAAAGTTAATATAAAATTATTTTTTTACAAATAATTCATTTGTAATAAACATTTTCGTAATTTAAAACAAATCAATTCTTTTTTGTTTAATAAAACACTTTTATGGTCGGAAATTAAACAGTAGGGTTTAACCTCTATTTGGTTATCAGAGTGATTAAAGCAAAGATTTTTCTATAGATATTTGCTTTAGTAAGAAAGTAAAAGGTTTGATTTTCTTGGTTTTTGATAAGTTTTTGTTTAATTTTTTGTAAATGGGTTTAATTGACCACCTATACAAAGTCATTATCACATTGATTTATTTTATTGTAAAGCAATTGTTGCAAACATACAGCTGTCTTCAACTGGTCAAAGAAAGTAAAAGTAAAGCAAATAAAAGAAACCTATAGGGGCTTTATTGCTTTGTTAATCGTACCATAAAGTGTTTACAGATTCACCAAAGCTTTAAGAAAGAGGTAGTAGGCAAAAATTTATATTTTTGTCCGGGACATTCAAAGTGATGGACACGGACAACACTGATTATGAACTTTTATATTCTGCTTATAACAAACTACAGGAATATCATAAAACTGAAGTTTTCAATATAAAAATGGTGGCAGTAATAATAATAATAGTAATTAACAACAAAATGCACAAATCACATGTCATGCAAGTAGAATATTAATGATGAAATGAATAAATTAAATTTAAAAAGTAATCAAGTGACAATCGAAAATTTCTCAGGATCCTTTCCATGTTCAATGGCATATTTATAAAGACATTCCATTTTATTTGGATTAGTCCTAGAAATTGGGGAGTTACGGGAGTAACAAGGCTCTGCTTCTCGGGTTTTGTTTGATACACTTATCTTCGTTTTGGAATTTATCCAGGGATCAAGCCCGGTTTCTTTCTTATATCTTTTATATAACTTGGAACGAATTTTATCTGATAAAATATTTGGTAAACCAATTAATTTGGCATACCAATCCAGATGTTCGGAGGTTAATATTTTATCAGACTTAGTTTGTTGCCGTTTTATATGATTACAAAGCAATTTAATTTCCCGCATTGGGTATTATAAAAAAATATTAAAAAAATATAGCCACTTTGTGACGCCTTTGGCAATCTTTATTACATAGTAATAAAATATAAATAAAGTTTATGCGGTTATTTTAGTTTCATGTTTCTCACATTTAATGTAATAAGATCCATCTTTATATTTTCCTTCTATACTTTCCTCATCATCGTGATCTAAATTGCATAATGGACATAATGTCTCGGCAGTAATTCCGTAGTAATCAGCATTTTCACTGCTAAATTCTCTATAAAAATTAGAATATTGTTCCAATGTTTTGTTACGGAAATAAGCACGGTCGTGAGTTTGTATACTTACCTGAGGCGTAGATGGGATCTTAGTTTTTGGTGAGATATTATTATTAACTAATACACTTACTACAGTTTCTAATAAAACCTTTTCGGGATGAAATACAGTTGGTATACTTACCTTGGCTTTCACATCTGAAGAATCCGAGACTTGGGATATAGACAAAGGGATAGGAGTTGTGATGGATTCACTTATTTCAGAATTATTCCGATCGTGACATTTTGTCACGGTTTTGAAGTCACCTGATTTATAATATGTTGAATTTGAGTATCTTTCAATCCCGAAATAGTACTTGCACTATATGTAATGTATTTGATTTTATCTATACTTACTCTTCCATCACCAAATAGCTTAAGAATTTTTCTTGCTCTTTCGGTTTTCTTACGCAAATTTACATCTGTAATATTAGGTAGAAAAGGTTTCATTTCCTTATATATTTTTGATCTTGCTGTTTTATCTTTAATATTGCCATCTGCTGTAAGGCTTTTAACCTTATTTTCGAATTCTAGAGAATAATAATACCAACATAAAATTTGTTTCTGACCTAATTTAATTGCTTTATAAAATAAGTCTGATAAACTTTGTACAGAGCCTGGAACCATATCCCGCATACAAGACTTACTGTTATTTGAATATGTGGAGTTAATTTCGGAGGAGACAATACTTTGTGCATGAATACAAGTCATCCCTATGTCAAACCTTCTACAATTTGATTATCTGATTCAAGTATTTCGGAGGTAGTATCAGAATTGCCAAGGCATGGTTTTGATTGTGACATTTTGTCACAGTTTTTGCATCATATAATGATGAGGATGTCATTATCTTTTCAGATTCCGTTGAAGTGTCCTGATTAACTAAAGGTAAGTCTTGATCCTGAGAAGTGGAAGTTTCCTTATTATGTAATAGCTTTTTTTCCTTATTCCTTTGCCTTATCTCATCATTAATCCTTTTCTTATTTTCCGAATCTAAAAAGTCATCAATTTCTTTATCTTCTAATGATTTAGATTTGCTAGAGCATGTTTCATTAAGGTTAGATGTATCGGAAATTGTATCATCTATCTGTTCTGAAGTTGCTTCCTGGTGAGCTGAAAAAACGGTAATCTGTGCATTTCCACCACTTGAACAATTCTTGCTGGGCAATGAAATGGAATATTCCAGAGACTTTAAATCATTAGTAACAGTTCGATTTTGCTTCTCAATATTCTCAACAGATTGTTTTAAATTTGCAATTTCTGCCTTGAGCTCGGCATTTTCTGTCTGACTTAACTTTGTGGTCTGTTCCAATTCCGCAATTCTAACCTCAAGTTCACCTTTTTCTTTCGCAATCTGTTCCAATTCTACGATTCTAGCCATAAGTCTGCCATTCTCCTTTTTCAATAAATCTAGTTCGGATTTGGTGTTTCCCATTATTTTATATAAGATGCAGATATGTTCAAAAGTTTATATTTCATAAATGCAAATTTTGCCACAATATAATAGTGGAGTTAGTAGTGTCTATGATACAAAAAATTTTATTTATTTATTTTTTATTTAATATATACTAACATTTAATAAAATAAAATTGATTGACGCTTCAAAAATTATTGATATATATTAATATGTATTCAGGAATATACATGCCATATATAATTACAAATAGCACGAATGTACTGGAGGAAATATTCACAATACTAATATAACCCGCAAAATGGCGAAAAACAAATAGATACTATTTATTGAATTAATTACACTGAAAAAAGCATCTGTAAATGTACATTTCTCCTGGAAGTAATAAATGCTAATCAACATCTTCGTTTGTATGCATGATTATTCTCAATATGTTTAAACATAACGTATACATCAGTCAAGGTTTCTGAACAGAAAGGGCAATTGCGTGGTGTATTATCGTCTCCTGTGGGCTCTGGTGATACTGATTCTTTCTGTAATTAAACCGAGAAATACACAAATGATAAAATTGATTGTATGTCAAAAAGTAAAAAATAATAAAAACGCACCTGTGAAATTACATGTTCGATTTTCCATATTTCTAAAGTAAACCTTGGTAAAAAATCCTCAGCATTAACATTTTTCCATCCATGATTAATACGACATCGATCCCTTCTATATACGTGGATCTCTTTATTTTCTGGATCTATTAACCATCCCAATTGTACAGAGGTCCCCTCCGCGAAATATACATCCTTGAATTTTCTATCAAGTTCCTCAAACTTTGAATGAGTTGAAATGTTTCCGACTTCGATAACAAATATAGGGGTGAAAGGATCACCTTTAAAACTCCAATTCTGTTGTGCATCCAATTGACAATCTATTTCTTTGGGTGTATAAGCAATATCTGGCGCTCTGATTGTTTTACCACCTCCAACATCAAAATCAAATCCTCCCTGTGATGAGGTAACGCCCCCATTTTGCCGTGTCCAGATATTCCAATTACTAAGTTGTCTAACGATTTCAGCAACAACTTTTTCTCTAGAGTAAGGTGATTGTGGCATAGGGATAAGCTTGCCGTTTTTGTCGAGATCAAAAAGGTTAACTGGATGTCCATCAATTTCTAGAATGCGTGTCTTGAGTTGGTCATTGATGAATTCAAATTCTTCAAGGGTATATGAGCGATCGAGATTTAAATTATTAAAATCTATTTTCTTACCATTGGCTTTCAACATATCTATACCAGTAGTTAGAAAAAAAATTTTTTAAAAAAAAAGATGGTAATAATAATTTTATATTGCTCAAATTTGATTATCAAAACTCACCTAGACCCTTCAGAACACTAGTGAAGATAAGATAACCAATATAGTTGATGATTGTAATCCAAAGAAAAACACCAGAAATGGGAAAGAACTATAATAAATAGTATATGAGGTAACCTTAAGTTACTTGCGCAAATAAGATAAGGGTTAGTTTTGCTTGTTGCATACCACAAGTCCAGCAATAGTAAGATTAATGACCGCGATCCAAACCACGAGAAGAATAATTGGAATGCTGACGAGGATAGTTACAATACACATAAAAAAAAAGTAAAAAAAATTTTTCACAGAAATGTACGACCATGAGGTAATTAATCAAATTTCAAATTTGGTTATAAATCATGCATGCGTTTTAATGATCAGGCGGTTCACGTATCGAGATCTAAAATTTTTCACAGTATGACCATGAGGTAATTAAATTTGGTTATAAATCATAATTTCATTGCACAGCCACACGACATATTAATTATCTGATCGATTATGCAGATAGAGTATCAAATTTGAATTTCCTCTTTACAATTAGAAAAATATGGAAAAGACACTCAACTATTACCTACCCGCATCTAAGAGCGGAGCTCATGCCAAGGCATAGAAAGATCCTGTAAAATATATGTATGAACTTCCAATTTTCACAAAGAAGTTACGGTCAGGGAATTTTGATTATGGATTAACCGAGAGAATATTCCTCAAAGACACAAATATCAGTATAGATAATTACATTTAATCGAACAAGAAATAAGTAGATTTTTTTAAAAAATAGCAAATAGATATCATGATTTTTTATTGTAATATTTGATATATAATAATAATGATTTTTAATGATATTTGATATAGAAAAATAGAAAAATAGAAATAAACGCAAGCTTGCATGGGAGGGATGCGAAAGCGCATATAATGCACGACTCCAAGGCCATATAATGTGCATCCCTGTACTTTGGGCTCGCGATTATTCAGTACTAGTAATTATAAGATTATTTTTGTTTCTACCGCTACTACCACCACTACTAACAGACTTGTCTTTCTTTTTTCCTTCTTTATCGACCCAAGCTTCGATTTTATCTAATGTTGTAACATGCGGTTTTTTTTGGTGGCGATAAAATCCAGATAACGTTGCAGGACTAAGTCTAATTTCTTCAGATAAGACATTGTACATTGTAGCGGGGGAACGCCCTTCTCTTTTTCTTCTTTCATCGAAGAGGTAGGTAAATTCAACCCAGGTAGCTTCAGTTTCATCTGGATATTCCGATCTATGGCTTGTAATAGAGGCGCGACCTGTAATGTTAGACTCGTTAGTGTAAATTCTGGAATGAGTGAGCTCACTTGCATCATAAGATAGGTTATCAGGCACGTAAGTGCCATGACCCTTTAGGGTCACCCCTTTGGGCCTGCTTTGCAATAAATTTACCTAGAGTCTGGGTTTCACTTTTCCATTCCGATTCAGTGCGCATTTTACTGATTTCATTATTGAGTGCTAAATAGCTTTTTTCAATGTTTTTTGTAGCTGGATCTATGGTTTGTTGCTTATATGAGATGTGCATAAATATCATGATTACATATGGTGCGATGAAAATCAAAAAGAAAAAAACATGAATTATATCGATAGACATTTTTAAATAGATTTTTAAATAGATTTTTAAATAGATTTTAAATAGATTTTTAAATAGATTTTAAATAGATTTTTAAATAGATTTTTGATCGATTTTTTTGATTAGGTGTTACAGTTATGAAATAGAAGTAGAGAAGTTGACTTATCTTGTATTTATATATCTTTCTCCCATCACCACCCGCAGTCTAAAATTAGATCAAAACCTTCTGAGAATAACGATGACTCATTACAGAAGAAGTGTAATATTAGCATGAGTTACATTCGTGCTAAAAGACCATTGTGTTGATCCATATAACAAAATCTCCTATACCAAATTGGATTTTGATACACTGACAAGCTAGGTAGATTTTATTATTACTATCATTATTATTACTATTAAATAAGTATATATGGTAATTTTCCTCCACAATGATTGTGGAGAATAAAATACAATCACTAAATGAACTCGCGTAATGATTTGTTCAGATAACTTTTTACATATATGGATGATCCAGTATATTATTGCAGATCAGGCCCAGAGGGGACAAGTCTAAAGACTTATGGCACTTACGTACTTGACATATATTTAATTAAGTATTTTTCTATGGGCGATCTTGACAACATTTCTTGTTTTTTAATAAAAGTAAGGAGTTAATACATCTATTATTCGAATAAGCGAAGCTTAGTGTTTTTTTTTGACACGTAATAATTAAATTATAATATTATATTATATATATTTGACCGAAAAATCATGTGCACCGATCACTGGCAAGAAAAAATCAAATCGGAATTAATTACTTATTCTCTACTACGAAGCACCATTATCTGTTTGCATCAAAAATAATCCACATTCCGAAATTAATCTGAATTATTATCGGATATATAATCTATTTTTCTCCGAGATATTTTAACACCTTGTGCTTTCTCTGCTAAATTTGTACATTTACGCGAGTCTCCGACTCATCTGGCAAATAAAAGCAATAAAGCTTCCACCGATTTATCACTTTCGAAATTGTATAATTTGCTTTTATATTTAGAAGAGGATATAATGGCAATTCAGGAAGAACTTGGTATTGTCGGTTATACTAACCAAGAAATGGTGGACGAAGCTGATAAAAATGCAAGAGCATATCTCCAAAAGTTTGAGAAATTTCATGGTCCCTTAGAAGATGTTCCAAGTGTGATATTACAAAAATTTTGCAAAATGGGGCTAAAAAAAATTTGGTTTACTGGAGAGGGACTTCCATTATTTCCAAATGCCTCTCCTCAACAATTACATGAGGTTTTCGTCAAAAAAACGGCTAGCGTTAATCAGTGCCCGTGTCTAGAATCAAAAGTAAAGCAAGGAAAATTGTCACAGATATATATACACCACAGCAAATAAAAATTCTTTGTCTGAAATTAGCCAGAGACTGTCGAATACCTGATTACCCACTCCATTCTTCTATAGTCAGAATAATCCCGCCAGTCTCTCTGATACAATCATTGATTAATGGCTCGAGCAAGACTATTTAATAAATTAGTTCGTTCTGAATCGGTCAATTCTGATGATACTCTAATTACAGAAATAAGATCTGTTATAGTATCTCGAAGCGTTATCTTTACCGGTGGATCTAATACCCTTAATGGATCTGGAACAAGTGGAGGTAGATCAGAATCTGAAAATTCATCATTGGAATAATCTGGATGTTCGATTTTAATTTTAGAATTAAGTTTTTTCATCACTTCTTCGCTAATCCCATTACATCCTTCCAAACTAAGATATTTCAAATTA